TGCAGAGCAAACGGCGTTCGCTTCCTGAAACCGAAAGTGGACAGTTTTCCATAATGTTTAGTGTCAATTTGACCTTTTGAAGGTTATAGTAAACAAATGACCGCATTGAAAAAAAACATCTGAACGAAACCATATATTTTAATGACAAGCTTAAAACCTTAAAGCTTTGTCAACCTTTAGTACGTAATAATAAACAAAATCAGAATGGAATAAAACAAAGTGTGGAACTTACAAATGTAATACATCCGTAAACTAAACCGAACCCATTCATTAAGACAAAACATGAAACAATGGTACAACACAAAATTCTCAACAGCGAAAAGCAAAAAATACTAAGGTACATGTATATCCCTCTAGCTCGCTCGGAGACAAAACTTATTCAAAATAATAAATCAATCAAAATAAATCTATTATTATTATTGTCATAAAAATAGAACATAAATGACTCCATATCAATACTTACACAGCCGAAAGTTTGAGCAACTACGGCCCAACAGGAATTTTAATATTTCTACAGATATGCTTGATAATGAGACATGCAGGTAGGGCGTAAGAATTGTACCTGTTGCCCCCAATTGCATAATCGTAAAAGGCGACTAAATTTGGGACCTTATCTCTTCTCTCCCTTCTAAATAACTTTCTTCTTCCTAATGTCTCACTTGACGATGCCTCACTTTTGGCCATTTATTGAGCGTTCGCCCCTGTGAGGAAGGCTTTGGGTTCTGTCCCCTGGCCGAGACATACAAAAGTCTTTAACAATGGTAGTTTCTACTCCTGCTTAACGAGTGGGACGACTGGTTAGCCCGTTGTCAGTATAATGTGACCGGGTGGGGCGTCCTGCTGGGTGTCTTCGGCAGTATGTTTCAGTGAGGTAGCACTATAAAGTCGGCATCAGTTCCGCGCTATCACAAGGAGATAAACACGAACATATCGCAACCTCCCAAAATACACACACATACACTACACGCATGCATCTTGCACACATGGGAGGCCGACCTTAAATGACCTTAGCTGTTAATAGGACAAACAAAATCAAACAAACAAAAAAACAAAAGATTGATAATAAAAATCCATCACGTGATGAGGAACTTTGATCAAGTCTTGATTTTGAAACCGTTGGCCTGCTGCAAGGAAATGTATTCAAGGTAATGGTTTACGTGTATACAACCTATGAAGAAATTAAACTAAATGAAGAGTTAAAAAGACCTGCAATGCCGACACGACACCCCCAAAAATACCAGCAGCCCCACTAACGAAGAGGTTCAAAGCAACAACAGCCCAGGAAATGGAGACATTTTTCCAGGCACGACAGGCTCCGACCACAAACAAAACACTGCCTGAGCATTCCAGAACCTTTAGTATATATATATCATTGGTAGGAGTGATAAAAAGTAAGGGATACAACAACATCAAAATATTTTTTAAAAAAATGAGGCAATTCCGCTAGAAGATTTTGAAAATGTAGTGTATGTGTAAGATGTATTCCCAGTGTTCTATGTGTAAATGTTTCATCCCATCGAGTTTCAGACAAAAAGTCTCTAACGGCCTCTACCGTTCACATATCATCCACTCGAGAAGAATCCAGATTCAACCACAGAACACTAAGTATTCAAACTTAGCACATTTATGTTTTACTTTATAGCACCCATCAGCAAAAACAGCACCCAAAGCTTAATCCTTTATGTGTATGGTATAAACATCAATATATATATAACAATCAGTAGAATCACATAATGGTTTAAGGACAGTTTTTTTTATCAATTATGACTATATTTAACAAAATTTATAGATTGTTTTGAATAATTCAACAAGTCTTCTTGTGTTGTATATATATTTAAGAACACTATCAAGTATATATTTATTTTCAGTATTGTTTAACATAGTGCTTCCATTAAGAAGTATTTTAGTATCAAGATTAACCGGACACACTTCAAAAATCTCATTTATTAAAGTTTGTCCCTCATCAGTATACATTGGACATTGCAAAAGATAATGGGTAGCAGTTTCATAATCATCACAACACAGACAAGATGGCGTCTCTTCAAAGTGATCTTTGAACAGATCATAGTTCAGGTTACTCGCCTCATTTCTCAGTTGACATAAGATTATGTTACCCTTTCTGTTTTCACAATTTTTAAATACATCAGATATATCAGTATTAAAACATATTTCATTATATACCTTGGCCTTAAATTTATTAAGAGTAGCGGAATGTGCTCCATTGAACTTGTTGCACATTACTGGGAAGCAGCTTTTAGCATAAGATTATGTACGACAAAGTGGTGGGTTAAACATTCTTACATTCTTAGAGTATACCTATCATTTTCTGGGTTATGAATAAGAGGATCAATTATGTCATGGAGGTATGTGGGTGATAAATTGTTAGTTATTTTATACATCTGAATTAGCTTATAATTCATCCTTCGAGATTCGTAGCCTAGTTCTTTATATAGATTTTGGTGTGATGTACCTTTCCTTAGGCCTGTGATAATCCTTGCAGCTTCTAGTTGTACAGGGTTTTTTAAGATTATTAGAGCAGTTGTCCCAGACAATATCTGCATATTCAAGGATTGGACGGATAAATGTTGTACATATTTTGCATGGTGATTTCCTATCAATCTTATATTTCAGATACCTAAGCATGTTTATTCTTTTACTAGCCTTTTCATATATTAATTCAACAGTGGTAGACCAAGTGCCATCTTCAGAAAAGGTTAATCCAATATATTTGTGATCATGGGCATTATCTGTACAAGTGTTAGAGAAATTAATTAGAAGATGGATAGGTGTTTTTTTCTAGAAAAAAATAGTGATTTGGTTTTAGGGGGGTTAAATTCAATGTCCCATGTACTAGCCCAGTTGTTTATTCTATCTAGGTCTTGGTTAAGATAATCTGCTGCTAGTTGTGGGTTTTCGTCTTCGATGACATATAATGATGTATCGTCTGCAAACAGCTTAATGTTACTCTGGACTATATCAGTGATGTCATTAATGTATAATGGAAATAAAATAGGACCGAGAACTGATCCCTGAGGAACACCGGCATTAACAATCCTAAAAGTAGAATAATAACCTTCAGGTAGAACACTCTGCTTCCTATCTTCAAGATCATTCTCAAACCAGTTAAAAACATTGCCTGATATACCATATGCTTTAGTTTATGTAGTAACCCTTTGTGCCAAACCCTATCAAAAGCCTTGCTGTTGATGTCGCAAAATACAAACCTTAATTCTTTCCCTTTATCCAGGTTGCTAATTATGGTGTGGTATATAGAGAGAAGTTGATTTACTGTTGAATCACCTGGTTTAAAGCCCGATTGGTCCTTGGAAAGTATATTATTAGTTGTTAAATAGTTATATACATATTTGAATATAATTTTACTAAAACATGATTTTACAGATATTAGTCGATAATTGGAATAATTATTTTTAAAACCATGCCTTTTGTATACAGCACTAACATTAGCCATCTTCCATGGCCCAGGTATGCACCCGTTAGATATAGTTTTGTTAAATAAAATTGTAAGTGGGAGTATTTAGAAAGGTTTTAACTTTTTATGACTCTAGGTAACATGCCATCAGGTCCTGCTGGTTTATTTTTATTTAATATAGTAATTTGATCAGAGACTATTATGTTTTCAAATTTTGATAGAGTGGAGATATCTAATACTGGAGGTTCAGCAAGTGTATTTGATGTTGTCACCCTTCTAATTTGTAACACACTTTCTGATTGGATATCTTGCCGGGGTCTATATTTCTATATACCCCCCTCTGCCGGGGTCTATAAAAGCACGTGCGAGAGGAGATAACTCATACTAGAATCTCTCTTCATAGCAACAAAGATGGCGTCCGACACACACGCGTTCGAGGTGTGCCAATCATTTACAGGATACAATAGCCTTCTTAATTGACAGCAAATTTAACGAAAACGGCAATGAGGGGGCCGCTAGGTTGCTAATTACAAAGATTGTTGTGTATTGTCCGAAATGTTGCCGAAAAGATGTCCGGTAGGGGCTATTTTGGTAGCAGTCTAGTAAGGTGACCCAAATCGGATCACTAAACCATCATCACCAGGACCCAAATCGGATAAAGGCTTGAATTCTGCAGTATCCTACATTTCAAATGAATATTTTTTTCTCAGCATGTTAACATTTGATGATGACCTTAAGAATGTATATGACTAAAAGAATTTCTATAGTGTGAAATTATTCCTATAGTCCAAAACAGAATGCATAGTCGTCGCACATCGCGCCATTTTTTAAAAACTAGGGCTGTAGCGGTGCACCGAAAACTGCGCCACTTTGTTTCGGTTCGGTTCACTGTATTTTTTTCCGTGTTCGGTTCGGTTCGGTTTCTAGTATTACCTGACTTCCGGAATTCAACCATAACAACAAGCATGCAACAAGGCGGAGCTTCGATTAAAAAACCCTCCAGCCTCCTTTCGCCCGCCTGTTTGACAGCATTTTGGGTTTCGGATGAATATCCCCGCAGGGAAATCATTCTCCACTTGCCGCCTTTGTTTTGCAGATGTAAGCTACAAGTCGGGAAACACGTCAAACATGGCGACGCATTTGAAAAGGAAGCATGACATTTCGTTTGGAAATGCGGTGAATGAGGACGCCCGGTCGGTGCAATCCAAGTCTAGTACTACAAACAGCCTGCAGTCTACTACTAAAGGTCAGTCTATTTTACAAGATGTTATGCAATCAAAGCTATCACGTACTCACTCCAAACATGTGTCTATGACGGGAGCGATCGCTGGGTTTATAGCAAAAGACATGAGACCGTTTTCTATTGTTGAAAGTGAATCTTTCAAGTATATGATGAAAATAGCGGAGCCGAGGTACAACATTCCAAGTAGGCCGTATTTCAGCGAAACAGTTATGCCTGCATTGTACAGATGGCTGGACGTCTCGGGCAACGGAGAGCTATATAGCAGTTACTGCACATTTCGTGAATCAGGAGTGGGAAGTTTCAAATTACACGTTACAAACAAGAAAAATGAGTGACTCGCATACTGGTGAAAATCTTGCATTTTCTCTTAAATCGACCATTGCTGAGTGGGAGTTGGAGAGACATGGAAAGGGGCCTACCATTACAACGGACAATGCCAGTAATATCGTTTGTGGAGTGAAAGAGGCCAACCTCTCACCACACATCCTTTGTTTTGCACATACGATCAATCTCGCTACTCAAAGGGGATTACATATCTCACAGACTGACAGACTTTTGGGAAAGTCTAGGAAAATTGTGTTCTTCTTTCACAGAAGCACCACTGCGTCTGCCATTTTGAAGAATAATCAGGCAAAGTTAGAATTACCACAACATAAACTTATAATGGATGTCCAGACACGCTGGAACTCAAGTTATGATATGCTGGAGAGATATACCGAACAGCAGGCGGCTATATTTTCAACATTATTGAACAAAGCTGTCAAGAAAAATCTCAGGGATCTGGTTACATTATCAGATGGTGATGTGGAAAATGTGGAAACACTTATACAAGTTTTGAAACCCTTGAAAACTGTCTCAAAACTGATGTACAATGAGCGAAATCCAACGGTATCACTTATTCATCCACTAAAAGAGACGCTCTTGAAACAACTGGAGGTTCTACCAGGTGACAATGCACTCGTGTCAGCTGTCAAAACAGCCATCATCAATGATCTACGACCAAGGTAAATAATCAAGATAAAAGTGTACTAGTGTTTACTGTTCAATGTTCAATTGTTTATAAGGTTTTGTATTCAATTTCTTCTTATATAACAATCAAGCTATGGTCTTTTCTCACTGATCATTAGGTAAAAAGTATTTGAAATCATTCATAGTTGTTTCAATAACATTTATTGTCAATGTCAATTATTGAAAACAAAACATAGAATTAAAATATTATACAGCCTTTCACAATCACAATGTCATTCTTTTTTTCCCACAGGTACACAGGACCAAACATTTTGAAATATCTCCACCAATGCTCAGCTTTGGATCCACGATTTCGATCCCTTCCTTTCCTAAAAGAGAATGAACGACACGAAATCTTTCACACACTTGCCCTGCATGCAGCAACACTTGATAGCTCTCAAGTATGTCTACTAATTTTAGTAATTTTGGTCTTAACTGTTTGCTACATGCCTATTACTGTATTACACGGTCATGAAATAGTAGAAAATATTAGATATTATGTATTATTAAGAAATTAGAATATAAAATAAAACATGACCAACAGTAAAAATATCAATAGAAAATAATGATTACAAATAATAAAGTACAGTTTGTTATTTCATGTTAAAAGTGTATCAGTATAATAAACAATTTAAAACATATATTAAGTAATATTAAGTTATTAACAAGATTTTTATTTTCATTTTCATTTTATTTTCTCAGGTAGTTGTAAAATCAGAGCCCTCTAAGGATGATAGTGAAACATTGACAAATACCACAGAAACTCCTGCTTTGCCAGTGCTAGATCCATCACTTGCTGTCACTGATGGTGCTACTGCTCAACCAAAAGATGCTGACCTTGATGAACCTGTGGAAAAGAAAAACAAGTGTGCATTGGATGAATTATTTGGGGATGTGTTTGTTACCAGTGTTGAACCCCCTAAAAGTATATATGACAGGTTAGAAGTTGAGGTCCAGAATTACAAAGCAGAAACAGTCCCCTCCCTCGACTCAAGTCCACTCCAGTGGTGGAGACTAAGAGAAGAAAAATATCCGCTTTTGTCAAAATCGGTCAGACAGTCACTATGCGTACCTGCTACATCTGTAGCTAGTGAGAGGGTTTTCTCTACTGCTGGAGACATTGTTAAAGGGGCATCACGGTGAAGTAACCTTATTTTTTGTCTTTTTTTCAAATACTACATAAACATATCAAGCGAGACTCCTTATGGAAAATAACGATCGGATTTGGCTGAAATAGATTCATAAAAATGATAAAAACTGAAGAAAATCATCGGTATTTCTACCTGTCTGACCAACGTTTTGTTCAGGGATTTCCCTCTACTAGCGCATGCGCATAGCACACCGTTTCTTTGTAAACAAAATGACTGGCCGTGTGAAGTAAGCGAAAGAAAAGTGTTGTACTGTGTCAGCTAAGAAAAGATGCGTTGCCAAATGGTCAAAAGATAGCGCAAGGAGTACGTTACGGAATCATTATTGCAGGTGGGCAGTATTCAAAGAAGAAAATAACTGCCGTAGCAGTTAGTACGGTGCATGTATTCTTCCGGATAGCCGGTTAAGCTGAAATGGAATCGACAGAAATGCTAGCGCTGTTTATGTTATGAATAAATATCTAAAACTATTAAGCTCGCTAGTATATTTGTCTGAGTTTGAACACAGATGAACTTAGTTTAATATGTTAATGGGCATGTATTGGAGAGAGTTTACTTCGTGTTTCTATAATTATACAGTGGTTTATGCGAAAGGAAGGGAGAAGTGACTGGTTAGTTTTATTTTGCCATGAGGCCCTCCAAGGAATAACTGTTGTGATGGCACACGGCGTATTTTCTGGGTCACCGAGATACGTGTTATCGAAGTCCGTGGATTTACATAATTTATAATATTACCGGGTTCAATAAAATGGTATGATTTAATTATATTGCTGAATTAAACGATTATTTTTGTTTTTACATGCAAGATTTAAATTAGTACTAATATGAATACCCGGCCTCCTCTGCCCCGGCAACATATAAAAAAAATCAGAAAGGTTTGTCCCTTGGTGTAGGGAAGGTGTTTAGCCCCGTACCATCTGTACCGGCCACATTCCGGTACTAAATTCAATATATATTTAAATATATCTACTTTATGTTTATGCCTATTATCATTGTTGACATTTAATTGTAAATGTATGACGGGAGAAGGCTGTGATAAATTGTAAAAACTTGTGCCCCATCCCTTGTTTAATTTTATTGGCAACAAATTTATGTTTAAAGCTAAATAAATTTAAATTCTGAATATTGGCAAATGTGCAATTAACTTCTAATGATGAATAATTACTGTTCAATAAGTTTGAATACGGACTTAGAAATCATATAATTTGGTTTCATAGTGCGGTAAGAAGTTGCAGTTGCCTGACGGCCCCTCTCTGGGGGCCCCTTTGGAAACCGTTTCATCTCGCTCGCACCACTTGTGTTTACTGCCTAGTCAGGTGACGTTATCGGCGCTTTTTTTAGCAGGGCTTTCCCGAACAATTCAAGTGGTCAGACTGGACATTTGAAACGGACTATGAATATGGGGATAGCGATGTAACATAAGTGGAAGTGCATACAATACATACATTCATTAAAAAAACGCCTTTTCACGTGATGTCCCTTTAATTCACAACGGGCTTCTTTGTCATCTGAAAATGTTGACACCCTCATTTTTCTGAAAACAAATGCCATAATACCGAATGATTTATTGGTCATTGACAACACTGTCAACACAAAGAAAAAAGCTTGAACTATTTGTATTCATGTTGGTATCTTCTACAATAACATCATTTACATGGACTGTATAATCTACTAAATCTAGTCATTATCAAATTGAGGTGGTTTAATTTTTGTTTTAATTTTGTTATTTTCATGAATCATGACAAAATCTTGTCATATTACTTGTTTTGTATGAAATATGAGCAGTATTAAAAAAATACGAAACATTTTTTCGACTTACCTCTTATTTTTTTACATGAGTTGTTGACATCCTGTATCGTATCAAAATGTATCGTATCGTGGGTAGAGATAACTAATATTGTCGCTATAGAAGTAAAATATTCATTAAGGGCTCCAGCTTTATCAGTTGGATGTTGAATCAGTGTATTATTAACATTCAATGGTGGAATTGGTTCAGTTTTATTACATTAATCTGTCAAAAACGGATATTTTCTCATTAGTAAAGACATTTCACATACTTTTCTGCTTAAATCTTCAATAAAAAGAACAATTCTTTCTTGAAATAGTAATATTACGGTATCAAAATAACAGTTGGAACATGTTGCACACGATGATGATATAATGTTATAGTAATTGTGTCATTTACATGCTCTAGGAGGAATTGTATTACCGCACCTTTAATAGCCACACAGGTGTAAGTCAATGAGGTCCCATTTATCCTAAAATGAGTTCTGACACTAACTGTTCCTGATTTAAGCTTCCTATACCCAAACCTTTATGGATTTATCTTGTTTTGAAATTCCAAGCGGGGGCCGACGCTAATGTTAAATCGCTATAGGCATTTACCCTATCTTTAGTCGAAATATACTGGGCCGTTCAGGACAAGTAGCGTTTAAAAGGAAAGGTTGACGGACGGACGACGGACGCTGCGCGAAGGCGTAAGTTCACTTAACCTGACAGGTGAGATAAAAAAAAAAAACACTGCCAGGGCATTCCAGATTTTCGAAGGTGAAAAGCTAAAAACCAAATTAAATATTTTGCTCGTTCACGTTATAAATTTAGATTGATGAAGAACTGCTATCGTTTACACAGTTTTGTATAGCCTATTGTATGAATTAAACCATGTATAGTATAATACAGGTTACCAATCGAAACAAGTGGATTGTCAGTTTAATTTTTGACAACCACACGTTGTGTTAAATTCCATACAAAAAGCAAATCAGCTATAATCTTAAATTTCAGATTGGAGTATGGATATATATCGAGAAAAACGGGATTTTGGTTCATCGAATCCCTCAACGCTTTCAGAGCCCCGAATGAAATTGTATGCCAAAGCCAGGCACTCACCCTCAAAATCCCGATTTTGTCTATCACAAAAATACTCTGATCAACATGCGAGGGGTCATAGGAACATATACATTGTTCGCGAAAAGGACTTTAATGTTCATGTAAAGTCTTTCTTCAACTAAGTTACAAAAGGTCATAATTTCTTGATTTTTTTTTTGTATCACTACGATCATTAGGACATGAAAAACAGTATGTTTTGGATTTCAGTTAAGTTCAGTTCGTAAATATTGTTTTAATAGCATTATTTACAAGTTATGCAGGCAATAACATTTCTGCAAAAGACAGAGTCGATTTGCAAGGAAATATCAGTCAAAGTCTTCCATAGAACTTATTTTAGGTAGTGGAATGATTACAAATTAACGAAACGAAACTGCTCCAAAAGTTTGATAATCACATCTTTAAAGTCAAGTCATTTGTAAATTTCACCATAAAAAATCAGCTGTATTGGAAATACTTTTCTAAAACTATGGAGGCCAAACATCATTTTTTTTCTAAAAACACATTTTTGACCGAAAAATAATGCATGATATGCATGTTAAGGTTTGTTAAAAAAGAGTCATGCCTGCCTCGTTTGACAGGAGAATGAAAAGTCCAACCAACATGACTTTCTGGCGTATAGAGGTACACAAGTTACCTTGATATAATAAGGGTTTCATCAAAGAGACTGTGAAACATACAGAAATTTAGTTTATTCCGATATCAGTGTATTTTAGTTCCCGTCTTGTTCGATGCTGTTTTCAATTATACTTTACATTACGTGCATATCACATTTGAACTACAATTTTACGAAAGTTTGTCTTTACCCATATATTGTGCGTTGCCGTCCACCAGTTTCTCTAAATTTGACCTCAAACACTTACAAATGTGACCAGCACACTCCTCCTTTTTGTACATGGCATCCCCATATCGGTACCTCTTCCCTGATTCTGGCAAATACAGAGCAATAATCATGCATTTTTCCGGTTTCCTGAAGTCCTCAACAATAATGTCACATTACATAGCTTGTAAACTCTCATTTCAATTTTAAAAGCACGTATGGGGCTTGGCAATAATGTGTTGGTTGTCGGCACGTTTACATATTTAACAGTGCTTGCTACGTGTACGTATGCCAATCTGCAAAATACTTATCAAAGTTAACTTGCAAATCAAAAATGGCATCTGCTGCCACAACTACTGTAAATAATGGATTTAACATATAGAGTTTGATTAACGTTTTTGTGTGTATTGTGTTGGAATATGTAAATGTATACAACATTTTCGAGTCCAAGTGTTATATTCCCTCCTGAGAATTCTAAATAAGCAAAATTGTGTTTATAAAATGTAAATAGAAAGACATAGATTTAGATGAAAAAATGACAAGCAAGACCACCTGCCGAGATGTTTATGAAACAATAATATTAAGTCTGAGTTGTTTATTTCATTTAAGCCTAAGAAAGTCATATATATATATATACACTATAGGTAATTAATTTGAAACAAATATCATGTTTTTGCAGATTGGTTATTGAGAAAGGAAAGTCAGCTGATTTTGAGCTTTTAAGAGCAGGTGATCTTGCAGCATTGTAGCCAAGAGTTTTATGCAAAGATCATTTCTAAACAGGGAAAACAATATTCCAAATCTGCACTGACTGGTATGCGAGCAGCAATTCAACTTCACATTAACAGTCCTCCATATAACAGAAACTTTAACATGATGCATGATAGGGAATGCATATCTTGTAACAATGTTCTGATAGACGGGTAATCATTGAAACGGGACGGCTTGGAAAAAAATAAACATCATGAAGCAATCAGTGCAAATGATTTAAAGAAACTTTACTCCTCCAACACGTTAAGTATTGATAACCTACTCTTATCTCTACTGCGCAAAGTATGGTTTGAAGTATCTTTGCATTTTGGCCGTCGTGGGCGAGAAGGATTAAGAACCCTTCATACTGGTTCATTTGCTCTCAAAACTGATGATGAAAATAAAGAGTACTTTGTAACATCCTACAATGAAAAGGCCAAACCCAAATCACAAATAGCGTCTCAAACGTCCAACTGCACATCTGTAGTACATGTACATGGTCTGCTTTCCTCTAACGCAATTAATGGCCGGCTTTCAATATG